ATATTTGTAATTGATGTTTAACTACAAACTTCATATTTATTTTGAAATCAAATTCTAATTACATTAGTTAAGAACTATACCAAATATATATGCTATACCAAATAAAGTCTAGGGTGAAATTTTATTCCAGAACTATACCAAATATATATGCATTAATTGGCTTGATTTTGGAGAAAAAAAGAGAGGATAAAATAATATATAAAGATTTTGTTATGCATGGAGTAAATGTTACGTATCTTCGTTGTTGGTGCAATCCTTTTTTGCAGAGGTACAGATAAGAGAACTTCAGAAGAATTAAAGACATTGTCAACGTACAAGGAATTCATAGCATGCGATCCTACATCACTGAGATATTTAATATTCATGATCACTCAAAGGATAAATTTGTGAATTTTCTTATTATATTTTAATTCAAATTTCTTATTTTCATTTAGTGTGAAATTTGTATTTACACTAAATTTTTTTGACGTGATACAACTCGTAGAGATGTTAAAAGTTTTAAATTAAAAATTAATCATTTCTTTGTAAAACAAGTTGTTTTCATCTAATTTAGAATAGACATTTCAACCGATAGTAAGATTGAAGTGGTGGTTTGAATATTTTTGATGATTATAATCAAAATTTTCATTGTTCAAAAAATTCATCTCATGAGACCACCATTGAAACTTAGATTGCTTGTTGAGACGGCTGATATAAGAGCAATGAGAAAAAACTATTTTGACATGATTATTCATAAAATTTGAATAAAATATATTTAATGAAATAAATTGAGTGTCAAGAACATAATGATTGGTGATCCATATTTGCACATTCCTTGAAAATTTATTCTTGATATACTTGTGGATATGTCGACCATAGAAATAGATATCTTAAATGAATACTTAAAAGTGGTTTAAATGTTTTTTTCTATACATTTTTTACACAACGTAACAATCTTCCAATATCCATTAACATACATTTGCTTAAATATTCAGTAATATAAACTTCCTATAAGAAAACTATATTTTGAAGAATAATTTTATTGTTTCAATTGATATTTTAGAGAAAATAATATTCAAATAATTTGAACAATTTATGAAGGTGACTGAATCTTCGAAACAAATACACCAAAGAATTTTAATACCAATAAGAATCAAATCAACTTATATATACAGAAACCTATTATCATTTTCTATTAAAAATCTTTAATGTAATATATTTATGAGTTTATCTATATGAAATACTACTAATAGTTATATGAAATACTTTTTAATTATAATTTAATTAGTTGATCTTTAAATAGATCTTGATCAATAATTTTAGACAATAAAAACACATAATTTAGTATTGGAATTTTCATTTTTCTCTTAGAAAAATAATAGTTTTGAAATCGTATTTTATACGATCCTATTTTAAAAAAATCTAATTTCATCTCTTTGACTCATTTAAATATTATTATATTTAAAGATATTTTTGTGAATTATATTGCAAATAATTAATATAAAACTGTTCATCTATTATTTTTTAAACCTTGATAAGGAACTCCTCTGTTTGAACAATTAAATATTAGTATCATAAATTGAGTTTGTGTCATTCATAGGATAGTTTTCCTTTCATCACTTTTAAAAAATGAATTACTTTTTTTTAATAATTTTGATAATGGAGTGAAATTCTGTGGTCTTAAATAAATAATAAATAATAAATAATAGAACGTGGAGGTGGGGCATGGAAGAATAGAATTTGACCAAACAATTAAAAGGATATTATAAAGTGTGTTGGTGATGAAGAGGAGGTAGCAGCAGCTTAATCACCTACAAAATTTATATGATTAAGAAATTATATGAAAAAGACAACGAAATTACTCTTAATTTGATAATTAATTATTTTACGTCAATTTCAAATGATAATTTGGAGATGGAAAATTCATCTGACAGAAGTGTGGAGAAAGATTTGGTTGGATGATTAGAACCCAAGCTGTCTAAATCATCTACTTTCTTAATTACTTTTAACTCTCTATTGGAAGCCTTGGTCCAACGTTGGTTTACAAAATTGACAAAAAAAAAACTTGAAATTTTCATAAAAATATATTTAGTTATGTTCAAAATATAAAAGATTATAATTCTTTTCTTTATATTTAGTAATAATTAATAATACAATTAAAGAATGACGTATTAATATGTACGCAAAAATATCAACAAATAAATATACATACAAGATATGCTTTGAAATCTATATTCTTAATTTCAAAATATAACTTAGAAAAAATAAAATCATATTTATTATAGTAAACTCAAAGTCAAATAAAATCATTGTTTGCTTCAGTCTCTAACCATTTGTATATGACTATTTCCTAATGTTATGGTCGAGTTTTCAAGTATGTTTTTTTATATGATATTCAACATTTCAACTTTTACTTAATGTGCGATTCAAATATTTAATTTATAATGAGTTTGTAAAAATTATCAAATAGATAATACTTCGATAATTATTAATAATTATTTTTGTTATTTTTATAATTCTATTTAGCATGTGTTTGAAAAGACATAGGTTAAAATATTCATTTTATAATAATTATTATATTAAAAATTATAATAAAATATAAAAAATACACTACTCCCATATGTATTATGATTATATAGAAAACCATGTTTTTCTCTTCGTATTTTTCTTTCTCAAAAAGTTAAAAACTTCTATGGTAAAATTCGTCTTAATAAGTGAACGTTTGGTAGAGGAGGAAAATCTTTATACCTATTTCCTAGTAATCATTTCTCAAAACTCATAAAAAAGCATCATTCACAAAAATGCCTTGGATTTGATTTAATTTGTAAAAGTATTCTTGGAAACATTTATATAATTAAACTTTCTAACATTCGAAGAGAAATATGTTAGATTTGTACTCAAATATTAAATATATTGTTATATTGAGTAATTTAATAAATTTAACTCTATTTTTATTAAAAACTTATTTCAAGAAACTTTTAGATTCGCACATCTCATAAATTGTTTTTGGAAAACTTGACAAATATCATTTCGGAATATTTTTTAGAATGTTATTTTTTAAGATAAATCAAACATAGAAAACCTAGCTTTCTAATTTAAGATTCTCTTACATTTTTTTTTTAACCAATTGCAAAGTGTACAAAAAATAATACGTGGACACCCTCCATCTAAATAACACATAAAGAGGGAAGAAAAATCAACATAATAATAAATGATACAATTGAATAGAAAAACTAATAAAAATTAAAGAAATATTTAGATTTAAAAAGTGAGAGTTATGATGACACTACACTAATATGTGTGATTATTAAACTAATGCCAAAGAGAAGCTTATTTTTAGATTATAGGAAATCAGTGACTTAAAAATTCGGTGGTCATATTTAACTAAAAAGTCGAGATCTAATAAAAATTGTAAATTAATGTAAATAACTAACTTACGTTTTCCAAGATAAAAATAAAAATTGAAAAAAATATTTTTTTATATAAAATAGTTAAATATGTTTTTATTTATCTTAAATAAAATTCTTAGATCTACCCCATATTTCTCGTTACATAGAATACTAATTAACAATTCCTAAAAGGAAAGAAAACTATTATAAAATAATCTTTTTTAGTATGAGAATAACCCCAACACTATCATTTGGCCACGTAATTACTATACATAGAGAAAAAACTAGTTAGAATCATTCCAATTATTATAGTGTCTAATTATTTTTTGAGTATTGAAAATGTCTTTCGTCTAACCATAGCATAATAACTTTTTATAATAAAAAAATCAAATTTAATTAGAACAAATTAAGTTTGATTATTTGAATTACTATTTTATTCAAAAGTTAACTCAATTAGCTTAATTTGAAACTGCAAACTAAAAGCCAATCTAATGTATAAACAAGGATTAAGTTTCCAAAATCTTGATTGTTGCCTATTAAATTAGGTTAATTAGAGAAGAAAAATCCAATTGGGACCTAATATTTATAGAAACTACTTAATTTAAGAATTAAGTTCTGCTTATAGTTCTTTGTCTTCATTATGATATTTTTGTAAATAATCATTAAACTTTATTTTATACTTTTGAATCAGCTGTACTGAAAAGGTTGAAAAATAGTCATCACAAAAAAAGGTGCTTTCAATTATGAAGATGATTATGTGTGTGACCAGGACCTTTTTGTGTGTATTATTTTGGGTAAACGTGTTGAATTTTTTCTTATATTAAAATACAATCATAACCTTAGATAAAAATATTTCTTATGCATTTTTACTTATCGATTATTTTATATTTAACACGATGAAACAGAGAAAAATATGAAATTCGAGAGAAGGAGAAGTTTAAAATTTATATTTTTTTTCTTTTTATTTATCTAGATTTTGTCTTCTTTCTTCGCTGTATCTTTAGTCAACCAATAATTTTTTTTTCTGACAGTAGCTTCGTGAATCCAGCATGATTTTATATTTTAAACACTTCAGATGAGTTTTTCTTATTATTTAATAATTATTTTATGTGAACTCAGTGGAGAATACAGATTGAGATAAAAAAAAAAAACTTATTTTTTTATTTAGCACTACGTTTACGTTATTCTATTTTAATTACATTATTCTATTTTTTATATCAGAATTACCTACAGTAAGTAAAAAAGAAACAGTGATAAAATGTATGATAGATCATTCTGATTGAATTCTTAATCTATCAGCAAACAGGAAACAAAGTTCCTACATGGCAACGCATGTGATTTGTGCAGCTTTTGGCTGAAAAACCAGCACCCCATAAACTGATCTACTGCATAAAATAACTGCAACACATTATCCACAGTAAAAAGTAATCAATCCCCATCAAAATCTGCTTTCTAATGGTGCTTAAAAGCACCATAACAGAAGGTTAATCATTACTTTGAGTGCTCTAATTACACACTCACAAACCATGTGAGGAAGAGAAGATGTTAAAAGCAAAGGGTGAAGATGAATAGTTGAGTTAAAGCGCGAAGATTTTGGAGTTAAAAAATTTAAGACAGGGAAATATGCATGTCGGTTCATGATGACATAAGCTGAGATTGGAGGCTTTTCATGGTATTGATAATTGAATCTGAGAAGCTAGCTGTGTCTTATTCTGCATCCAATCCAGGACCAGGTTGGAATTGGAAGCTCTTTTTTCTATCTCTATTTTCTACTCTTTTTCACACAACCAGCCATTGCTTTCAACTTCCATTCACCATAACCAAACTAGTACCTTCATCACACATCTCTCTTTTTCTCTCTCTCTCTCTGTCCCCTACCACTCCACTATAATATTTTTTTTATCTCAAGCGGTGGAACACTCCTCTCCACCACCATCCGTCTTCTTCTTCTTCTTCTACAGACCATGTATAGTATTTGATTGCTTGTGATTCTGTGTTCACCATGTTCTTTGTGATGTGGTGAATTGAAGCGTTTGCTTCTTCTTCTCTGATGGTGTTTCAGTCTCATTCTGGATCATTGAGCTGGTTCTCTTAATGCCAAGATAAAAAAGAAAAGGTTTGATCTTTAATCACCCGGAGCAATTGAGAACAGTTTCAATGAATTTGGCTATGAAATTTGCTAGTGGGTATGAGTGGTAGTTTCAGATTTTTAGCATAGGTTGAGAACATGAACAGAAGGGTCGGGACTAGGAAAGCTCGAATTCCAATAGCGCAAGAAAAAGTAATTGAAGTTTGCTAAAATTCAGAAGTCAGAGAAGGGTACATCCATGTCGTTTCTGTGTTTGAAAAACAGTTTGCACAGTAATAGCCCAAAATCACTTTTTTTATTATAAAAGTGTCTGAGGAGCGTAACAGCTTTCTTCATAAACTTTGGCTTTGGTTTCGGTGAGACAAAAACAACATGACACAGATCAGTTAATTGTGTTAAAAGAGGGTGCGTTAAAAGAAAAGGAAAAAACATGTTTCATAATCCATGATTGGTTATTCGTTCAAAAGTCCATTGTTTCAGCCTTTGTTAGCTTTCTGGATTTGATTTGATATTTGTTCTTGTCTTTTGTTTTTTTTCTTTGGTGGATTCTGACTTGTTTTGCATTGAATGAGAAGGTAGATGATGCAGGGAAGCTCGAGAATTGCAAATAAAACTGGAAAAGCCTCAAGCAGAGAAAGAAAATTGGCTTTGAAACAAGATGTAATGCAATGTCAATGTTACTGTTCCTTGTCCCTGTTTGGGGTATGATTTTGTGGTCTATTGTAGCTGGCAACTGAGCTGAATTCATCAACTTTTCAGGTGGATAGGTTGAAGAAGAAGCTTAGGCATGAAGAGAATATTCATAGAGCATTGGAGAGGGCTTTCAACAGGCCATTGGGAGCTTTACCTCGTCTTCCTCCATATCTTCCTCCATACGTTAGTATATGAATTCCTTAAGTCCTTTTTCTGAACACAAGCATTCCAGTCTTTTCATATGTTAGAAAGAGATTGGAAATGAAATTTGTGTTGAAATTTGATGTTCAAAACTATAGATACTAGCTCTTCTGGCTGAAGTGGCGGTTCTGGAAGAGGAAATTGTTAGGCTTGAAGAGAAGATTGTGCATTTCAGGCAGGATTTGTACCAGGAAGCTGTCTACATGTCATATTCTATGAGGAAACTTGAACATTCAGTTTCAGCTCCTCCAAACAAGTCAAACTCAACAATGGACAGTCCCAAGTTGGAGAAATTGAAGTTTCAATCCCAAACAGTTGGTAATTCTGCAGCATCATCTGCAACTATGCCTACCACAACTCTCACAGGTGAGAAACTCAATTATGTTTCACTGGTTTTGATTAATTAATTGCTGCTTCAGATTTGAGCCTTCATTTAATTCAGTTTCTGCTGAAAATAATTAGTCAGACTTCCTCATTTTTTTGGATTGCCAGAGGATAAGGAGAATCAATCCTGTAGTAATTCTTCCAAGAGCAGGAATCAATCATCCAACCATATGAACAAATATCCAATTAGAAAACTTCACAATAAATCCCCACAGAAAAGGTTGGATCATCCAAAAATAAAGGTGTGTCACGTTTAGTATACTTTAGAAATAATTTTGAGTTGTGATATAGCCAGAAGATGAAATTGAAGAACTATTTCTTAGTCAATGAATGTGAGCTTTCACAATGTGCAGCAAGAACCAAGGTTGAACAGCCAGCAAATTGGAGATTTGAGAAACCATAGTACACATAAAAGTTCACCAGAAGCTGAGAGACCAAATATAATTTCAGAAAATATTGTGAAGTGCTTATCAAGCATTCTCTTGAGAATGAGTGCTGTGAAGAATCCAGGTTCTGCATGTGACATTCCACACCTGTGTGATCTAAGACCTAAAAACTGTGATGAAGGAACAGAGTTTGTGGATCCATACGGCATCTGTTTGGAATTCGGGAAGAGGGATATCGGTCCATACAAGCAATTATGTGAAATTGATGCTAAATCTTTCAATCCAAAACGAACTGCAAATACTTTGTTTTTACAGCATCGTTTGAAGTATGTAATATTTTTCCATTTACATTCAAATACTGAGTCTACTTTTTCCATGACATTAATTTGATATTATTTGTGAAATTAGAAGTTTTAGACTTTTTACTCTGTGAAATTTGCAGACTTCTTTTCAGGAAACTAGAATCTGTCAACCTAGAAAACCTCAACCATCAGGAGAAGCTCGCATTCTGGATAAACATCTACAACTCCTGTATGATGAATGTATGTCGGCTATGTTCATTACAACAACATTTAGTGTAATCTGTGTCTATTTATTTTTTCTTACAATTTATTTATCTTTCCTCAATGATCTAAAGTGGTGAACTTAATTACCTTCTTAAAGCATAATAAATGATGGTATTTTAGTTCTACTTTGCTTCAGGCATTTATAGAAAATGGCATACCAGAAAGTCCTGAAATGGCTGTTGCACTGATGAGGAAGGTATACCATGGACAATTAGAATAGCTTTTGTTTCTTATTTTGCTTGTTTTTCTTTCAGTTTAGTACAACATAGTGTAATTGTGTTAACAACAATTTATGTTGTTCTTTTGTTACTCAGGCAACAATAAATGTGGGTGGACATGTGCTAAGTGCAACAACCATAGAGCACTTCATTCTTAGACTTCCTTATCATTGGAGATTTGTAAGTGTTTTCCATTTCAACTCTAGCTTTTCCATGGATGAGAATAAAGAGTTAACCACTAAGTTTTCAAACAGACATTTTCCAAGGGAACAAAAAATCATGAAATGACAGTAAGAAGCATGTATGGACTGGAACTGTCAGAACCCCTTGTTACATTTGCTCTCTCCTGTGGAACCTGGTCCTCTCCTGCTGTAAGTTTATCAGTAGTTTACACAGAATTATGTAATCTTTCATAGCCCCACATTTGATGCTGTTCATTCATGATTAACATTTTTGTCTCTTTGCATCATTAGAAATTTGAAAACAAGAGTAATTTCTACTCATTTTCATAAAAAATCATCTTTTTGATATGACGTTTAAAGCAGAATTGTAAAATCTGATATACTTACCATTCAACAACCAAGTTGTTTGCCATTAGGTGAGGTTGGCAGCATGCATCAAACAAAGTCACAGTATCATGTTAATCATGTAAAGATTTGACAACTCTATCCCCTTTTTCAATTTGTAATTTTCCATGAACTATGCCAAATGCAGGTGAGAGTTTACACAGCATCTCAGGTTGAGAATGAACTGGAAGTGGCCAAAAGAGAGTTCTTACATGCAGCAATTGGATTTTCAACTTCAAAGTTTGCTCTCCCTAAGCTGCTGGATTGGTATTTACTGAACTTTGCAAAAGACTTGGAATCATTGCTGGACTGGATCTGCCTCCAGTTACCAAGTGAACTTGGGAAACAAGCCATAAAACTGCTAGAGGAAAGAAAAACTCAGCCCCTCTCACAGTTTGTACAAATAATGCCATATGAGTTCAGCTTTAGATACTTGATATGCACATAATTTCACTTCAGTTCCATGTACATTGCTTCACTGCAACTCTGTATACAACTGTAGATCATACATACAGACAATGTAGATGACAATCTGTTCTCAACCCCTTTGGGAAGAAATGATCAGATTCCTTCTTAACTAAAGTGAATAAAACAATCACTGTATAAGCTATGGAATTTGAACTATGCAAAGTGTGTATCTTTTCCAATAAAAAATTTGAGTCATTGTTAAACCAATATGATATATCAATCACTTAAAACTACAAGTCTTGTTATGGGACCAAATTTAAAACCTCAGTTGAATGCTCTCCCTCCCTTCAAACTCTTCAGATGATTTTTTTGTGACTGCATTGAGAGGCAGATAAAGTTATGAGGGTCTGCATTAAACCAATCTGTTTCATGTCAATCAAAGAACAAAAGGGTGTTCGCATTAACTAAAGATTATAGAGTCCAACATTAAACCAATACGCAAACACCTTGTGGTCCATTTTATGGCAGGTTAGTTTGGTGAGACAGAAGAGTGATCTTCAATTAATGAGTATACTTTTGATACTGCAAAGTGCTCTAACTGCAGTTCCATTATGGCATTCACCACGCTTTCATTGCTTTGCAGCAGCAAGCATCGTTTGCCACTTAAAACATGAATCATTAACTAAGTTTTCTCTTTGTATTCTTGTGTTTCCAACTACCAGGAGAACCCCTACTAGATGGCCACATTTGGGTTCCTTAAGATTCAACTGGTCCATACCCACATGCTTTAAGATGGAACCAAACCACACTTTTTTATCTTCTATGAAAAATTTTCTGTGAAGTTGTAGTCATAAACCAGACCATAATGTTTTTTCTGCATCACACTGGTCCCCTCAGACACACGCATGAAGGAAACAAAATTCAGAAACCAAGAGTTTATAACTTAGTCAGAGTAGGAAAGTTATAATATAGTTTTGGAGATGTTATATAACATAACATGATCGTTTCTACATTTAGATTTTCTAATATCTTGCATAATCCTCAATTATCTTATCCACTATATTTACATGTGTTAGTGTTGTGAAGTCATCACAAAGCATTAATCAAATATACAATAATGGATTCATGTTTAGAGTACTTAATGGTTGCTTAGAATCTATATGAATATTTAGAAAAAAAATCAACCATGCATTGATTACAAGCAAATGATATGTCCAAAAGATTTATAAAGACCTCCTTTTTAATATTATAATAAGATATGAAATTATTTACTTCCGTTATTTTATACCTACTTAAACATTGGAGTTAATGATGATTGTTCTTAATTGATCTTGTAAGAATTTTTCACTTATCCATTTCAATGTTCATTCATCCTTTTTTTAATGTTTAAATCTTTTTTCCTAAAAGAGAACAAAATATTTTGATGCAGATTTTTTCGACAATATTTTAATACAATACATTATTTGTAGAAGAATTGGTCAGAGGTGATCTAGAAGTCAAAGTTTAGGGTTACACCTTGAAGTTACAATTTTATCTTTTGTCAGTGTAATTTGGTATTTGGGGTTGCTTGTTTGTCCATAATACGTTCTTATATATTATATTACAACAAACTTAAATTAAACCTTTTTTTTTGTTTCTGGATAATCAGTTTATTAAATTTCATGGTGAGAAAGTTCAATTCTCTGCTTTTCAATTCGATCGATTAAGAAGAATACACCAAACAATTAGTGTTTGTGATTAAAAAAACACCAATATAACAATACAAAATATTAAAATATTTAGCAAAATTAATTTCCCTAAACTAGTAATAATTTATGACAATCAACAACAATAAAAAGCCACAGTAATAATTACAAAAGAAAACGCTCAAATGCATAAACTAATAACTAATCTATATATAAAAAAATTAAAGAGCAAAGAAAAATAAACCTGAATAACAATGTGAAATTGATTTCTTCAAACACAGACTTTCTTCTTAATAGTCAAAATGAAAAATAATGTCACAAATCTACTTTCAATTAAAAAAAAATAAAAATTTCTTCTAGAGAGTGCAAAATTTAATCTCTATCTTAACTTAGAAGACATTTTCGCATTTCAAAATAAGAAAAAAAATGAAATTGTACAAATTTAATTTTTTTTTTTAAAATACATGATGATAGGAGTGGAATCTAACACTTTAAACTTTGAAAATATATTATCAAAATCAGTCTTTACAAAATATTTACATAATAAAAAGCAACAAATTTAGATTCTACCCTTACTAAAAGATGATTTGGTTATAATGTAAAATTGAGCTCTATTATTATGCATTCTAAATTAAAATGATTAATAAAAAAAAAGTTGGTTTGGATGCTTAATAATTTTTTTGGTACACTTAATTGATGATAATAAATAAGTGAATATTAAGTGGTCCTGATTCTCTTTTGCAACAAATCATCCTCTTAGTGTTTATAGTTGGAATTTTGGAACTCGACACAAGAAAAAACAAAAACATAAATAGAACCAAGAGAATAATAGAACTTGTTAAATGAAAGTTGTTTTTTTTAACCAAGTTGGTTGAAGTGGTCTTATTTCATTTCTCTAAAACATAGTTTTTGATTCAAGTTATATGAAATGAAAAAAAAAACAGTAAAAGAAAATATTTAAATAAAAAAAAAAAAATGGTAAGATATAATATATTATATTTAAGTGGAAAATTTTCCATAAAACTAATTAAATATTTCTAAAAATTTAATTTAATTTATATATATTTAAAAGTTGTCAAAACTATAAAAATATAATTTTAACAAAAAAATATTATTTATATGACTGTTTTTATGCTATAAAAAGTTTATATAGTATTTAAAAATATAAACAATATTTTTAAAAATATATTTAAATAATGATTTAATTTTGATAAGTAATATAATTTAAATTTGTCTCATAATAACTATATGTACAAGTACAGCAATAAAGGAGATTCAAACTTAGTGTACACAATTTTTTCTATTTTAACCCTTTTTAATAACTTTTTTTATAAAATTTAAATAAGCAATTTTTTTCCAATTTTATATTTTTAATAACTACTTTTTAGTTTAAATCATTAATTATAATAAAAAGTATTTTTCAATTTTACTTTTTTAATAACTACTTTTTTATTCCAATAATTATTCATAATAAAAAAAACAGCTATAAAATAAAACATATAAAAATAAATAATGAAATAATGAAAAACATAAAAATATTTTTTTTTTATATTTTTTATATAAAATATTTTATAATTTATTAACATTTTCTAATAGCTAAAAGTCATTTTATAATTTAATAAAAAATTTGTTATAGTAGAAGAAAGTGAACACATGTTTTCACCAATATAAAATAATATACTTTAATTAAAGTCTCTAATCATATTTATTTATCAATTACAACTTTATAAATTCATGATTTGATTCAATTAAGGCTTCATTTTGGATTTCATAAATTAAATGATGCAAAAACTATATATATTTTATATATATATATATATATATATATATATATATATATATATATATATATATATTTAATTAATATATCTCAATCTTTTTCATACATTCACATATAAAACATATTATCTTAATCATTTAGCAACTAATTATAAATCAATATGTCAAATCATTAATCCCTTAGTCAAGTTATAACATACAATTTGCATTAAAATTAAGGTGTTTAGAATGACCAAATAATTGAATCAATGTGTAAATCCCAAATCACATTGTTGTTCTATCTATATCCAAATTCTCATTTATTTCCTAATGATTAGATATTTTCAGATATCATGGTATTTCATCATACACAATTATAATCTAGATAAAACAAATGAACACGATGAGATTATATTGCACAAACAGATTTACATCAATTTAAGTTCATTACATTCAATCCTAATGTAATAGGAGTGTAAGTGCTCATGTACATCTAAAACATATATTGGTGGAAATAGATGATTGAAAATGTCTTAAAATTGTCTCTAACCGAAATTTTGAGTTCTCTTGTGTTCTTACTTCAAAACTATTTTCTCTCGTTAATTCATGACATAATAATCATTTTCAAAAATTCACCTCTCGTTAAGCAAAAGAACACACTCATTAAGCAAAATATCAACTTTTGATTTGATTTTAACTGTTCTGTCTCATCAAGCGAGACAATATATTCGTTGAATGAGTGTTTTTTTCTTAGCTGAACGAATGGACTATGACTAAAGTGAAAATAGTCCTGACAACAAACTTTAAAACTCTTCAAATCTTCATTTTCCTACATAATATTTTACAAAAAGACAAAATAACATTTAATTTAAACTAAATAGAAAAATAGTATATCTTTTTATCGAAAAAACACTAAATACATGAATAAATACAAATTTAAAATAAAAAATAAATATAAATAATAAGTATTAATCACATTTATATGTTTTAATTTTATTCTTATAGATAAAAAAATATTTTTACTTGAAACATCAAAGGATATTTAATATAATTTACCATAATTATATACAACTTTTTCAAACATATATGCATTAAATATGTTTTTCTCTCAAACTACCGACTAAAATTACGCAGAGAAAAATATATTTAAATATTAAATTATATTCATTCATTTGCTTTTATATTACCATTTCAAAATGTGTGGAAAAGAAAATTATATAAGTTGTTCATTTTAATTTCTTTGCACGTGAGCTGCAAACGACTATTATATGATTAATTAACAAAATTATTTTTATACTGACTTCAGAAACTATTTCAATTCATTTATGTAATGCGCTAAAGTTCTAAGGAAAATATTATATATATTGAATATTTGGCTTATTTGTCCTTATTTATTTTAAATACTTTTAAATAAAAATAAGCAGATTTTTATTTGTATGTGTTAGTATAATTTGTTTACTTTAAAAAACAAGTAGTTTTCTATTTATTTTTTAGAAGTAAATTCTCTTTTGTGTTTACAATCAGTTTTTTCATGCTCCACTATTTGTCCTGAAAAGGTGAAAAATAAAGGTCAAAAGGAATAAACAAAACCACTTTAGGTTTTCTATGTCATAATAAGGCATTTCATTATTATATATCTTTCAGTTTTATTAAAAAAAACTTTTTCTTTTGAAAAAGTTATTTTCATAATATATTAAGTTATAATTAGAAAATTATTTTTCATTAGACAAATTTTTGTAGAGAAACGTCTTTAATTTGTTTTGTTTGTTATGTATTGATGTTTTCATTTTGTTTAAAAGATCCTTTAATCTTCTATGACTATGACATTTGTTAAGTAGGTGCAATAAGTATACAAGTAGTAATTGTTTTAAGTAGAAATATCAAATCTTAATAAGATATTGTTCTAATTGTATAAATAAAAGATAATAAAGTAAGAAAAATCGAATTTGAAGTTGAAGTGATTATTTCAACAATTAACAAATATATTAAAAGAAGTGATATAATATGATGCGGACAGGTTAAAGTTAGATCCACAACACCAGTCCTCCTATAAATAATTTAAAATAAATTTATATTTATAAATTAAATTATCAATTTATTAAATTATTCAAATTCTAACTTCTTAAATAATTGAATCAAAATTAAATAATTTTAATCACTATTGTGCATTTATAATTAACTCATCACATTATACTTCAAGAGTTATTACATAAGTTTGATTACAATTGATCTATTTCTATCATTAAATTCAATTGGATGTTCTTTCCAATATTTTAGATTTTAAACATTAATCACGTTAACGAACAACACAAATTAAATATCACTTTGATTATCTAACTTTAATAAACAAAGAGAAAAATTACTTACTCATAAAAAAATATTTTTTAACAAATAAAAATTGATTTGTAATTAATGTTTGTTAAGATGTTTTCCTACTTTCACTATGAGAATTTTAAATTTATTCTGTTTGTCAAAAGTTATATCACACATATATAGATTTTCATTTATAACAACTGCTTTATTTAGTCATTTTTAAGTGTTGTTTAGGATTGTTTGAGAGAGAGAAAATGCAATAAACTTTTTCATTTTAGTAAAATATGTATAATATTTTTTATTTTTACATTAATTATGTAATTAAAGATTAGGTGAAAAATTAAGGGTATATTAATAAAATGCAGAAATACAAGGAAAAGGTGTAATGAATGAAATTGGTAAAAGCCAAATAGTTCCTACAAGACCGCAATACACACATGCTGCCCTCTTCTAGACGAACAAATTATGAGCAAGTCAAACCGTTGACTTTGACTTGAACCATTCCACACCAAGCATAATTGCACAACTAGTTCTAATTTCTTTATATAATCAATATTTTAAAATTCATACTAATTATTAACCTTCTTCATTTTATATCTCATGCATCTAAAAAAGTAAAACCAATTGAAAATTCAAATGACAATCATGTTGAGTAAAAATAAAAAACTAAAACACTTTTATTAAAAAAACTCATAAATTTATTATTTTAAAATTTTCAGTTAAAAATAGTACGATTCTCATAAATCTAATTCAAGTCTATTTTATCTTTTTAATGAAATCCTTGTTAAACTAAATTTGTCTATATACACTTCATTTTTTTTTCTTTTTCCATTTCGTTAGGATTTTTAGACCGATTAAAAATAAAGTCAAAATTTAAAATATGTGAATAGAATAATCATTACTTTACAGATTGATTTTGTATGAGTAAATAAAATTTAAATTTATTTTTTAATATAAATCTTATTAGTTTGATCGTGATTTTACTTGTATTAATTAATTAATGTTATTATTTTATTTATTTTCTTTTTAGATAAGATGTAATGTTTGTTTTGCACTCAGTGCAAGTAAAGGGTCAATTCTAGAAGGTTTGTTGTGGTGAACAAGTCATGTTGAGACATTAACCACACATGTTTGTGACCTCTAACGTGGGAACGATATTGTCAAAAGCAACACGCCACACAACAATAACTAATACATTTAAAATAATAAGCTTTCAATGTATTTTTATTTCATGCAAATGTTATCACCGATAATTTTAAATTGCTTTCTGCAAAAATATTTTTTATCATAAAGTCTTTATCATCAAATTAAGAGTACTTTGTTTTCTGCATGCAAATCCACATTGTGGTCTATTTCGAGTATTTATCATTAACCACGAATTTCACAATCATCCTCATCAATCATTATCCAAATTCCATAAAATATAAGACAACCTTTTAAAAAATAAATATAATTTTGTAATTATTTATTAAATTATTTTCTATTCGTGTTGAATTAGCAAGTGATTCTAGATTATAAGAAATTATAAGACATTCCTACCTTACCTTCACCAAAGATGATAATAATAATCCATGTTTTTTTTTAATTTAATAGCAGCTTTCAATTGACCAAGTTAAGGGTAATTACGTAAATTAACCATCAACCAATTGAAAAGTGCCCAATAGTGTTGTAAACCCACATGCGTGTACATAAATAATACATTAGGAATTAGAAATACCTTCACATCAAAATCTTCTCGAAGCATGATGGGAACGATATATAACAACACTTATTTTTTCAAAAGCATTTTTTCTCTTTACTGAGATTTCACGTAAATCTCATCACTAATACGAGACTAGTATACATAACATTTATTATTGGATAATGTTTTTAATATATTTTTATCATTGAACGACGTTTATAAATTTGTTTGGTGAAATAGTATTTTTGTTAAATATTTCATTTCCTTATATTGAAACGTGGACATGAATTAAATAATGGAGCCACCTAATTGAATCCTTTGTCACCACGTAAAATTTCCTATAGTTATATATGAGTTTATATTATTACATAGATGCTTACCAAACCAAAGATATAAAATTCAGCCATGTGGGTCAACAATTTTGGGTATTGATTATGGTTTTCTTTACGCACGATTTTGTATCACAGCTAGCACCAAATGAGAGACAATTTTCATGTAAAGAAAAACAAACGGTATTAAAAGGCGGCTAAATTAACGTATGACACAACAAAAATGGTCAACAAAACAATCTCCAACCCTAATTTTCCTACATCAAATGATCTTTCTTCTCACCTTCCTCCACTCCTTCACCATCACCCCCATGTCTTATATAAATACCAACATCTCTCACACAAAACTTTTGCTACAAACCCAACACAGAAATTCAAACACAGACACAAATACAAAGAAGGTAGAAGAACTTTAGGTGTCAGATACTATTAGGTTAAGGTAGCTTTGATTGAAGAAAGATATGGAAGTGGTGATACAAAGTCCGAGTAGTCCAACTATGGATAATTTCGATTTTGGAAGCAACATGGGTTCGATCTATCACAGTGTTCCTTCTTCGCCAAAAGGTTTTGGAAATTACTTCTTGAGTGCACCGACCAGTCCTTCAAGGTTGTCTCAATTGTACTCGGAGTTTGAATATTTTTCATCCGCCGCAACCTCTTCATTCGAAGCTGCTGCCGACAAAATTCATGATGAAGATGATGATGACGACAAAGATGATTACAGTTTCGCGTTTTCCGTGAGTCGTGAATCCGACAAGTCTTCTCGTTCGGCGGAAGAGCTCTTCGACGGCGGAAAAATCAAACCTTTGAATGAATCTCGCGATTACAAGGATCCTAAAAGTGAAGAAAGAAGAGGAAGAGGAAAAGAGAAGCTGCCGTCGTCGAGTTCGAACCGTAGGGTGACACGATCGCACTCTCCTTATAGATGGGAAGTGGAAAAACAACAACTACAACAACAACCTAAGAGTAACAAAGAGGAATCTAGCGTGTTGTCCTCGAGTTCTTCTTCGAAGGGTGGTTCAAAGAGGTGGTGGTTGACGGATCTTTTGCTTTTTCGAAGTGCCTCTGAAGGGAGAGGGTCGGGCAAGGACCCGTTGAAGAAGTACTATAAGAAGAATGGTAACGAGGAGGTTAAAGGGTCGTCGAGTTTCAGATCATCGGATTCGTCGAGAAGAAAGGGACAAGTTTCAGCTCATGAGTTGCACTATGCCATGAAGAGAGCAGAGTCAAAGGATATGAAGAAGAGAACTTTCTTACCTTACAGACAAGGGATTCTCGGAAGATTGGCTGGTTTTGGAATCTAGCTGCTTATTACCATCATCAAGTTTCTTACGCATTTCTTGGTTTTTTTCTTTTCGTAAAAAAAAATGTTGTATTCTTTTGTTGAAATTGTAATATGAGATAAGTGGGTTTAAGCTGTTTTAACCCGATCATTTCTCTTTCTTTTTTGTATAGATATAATTATAAACGATGTGAGCTGCAATTTTGCAATTTGCAAATCATCACGATCAATTTAATATATACATTTACTTCATCGAAATGGAACAAAAGTAACCGTATTATTTATTTATTACCATATAGTTATATTGGTCACTACATATATATGTTTTAGTATCATGGTTGAAACATAATTAATCACACTAAAAAAGTTTAATGACTTTAATTAGAGTTACCAAATGAGTTGCTTTTGATTAGTATAAGACGTCTAAGAATTGGGCCTCACTGGAATCTCTTATTAGCTGTGCAATTTCTTCCTGCACCTTCATATGTTTGTTCCTCCAACCTCATCTCATTTTGTTTTTTCTGAAATAAATTCAAAAGTCATTGCACAATTTATTGCACAATCCATAAGTTAAAAATAACTTTATAAATCAGATAACAAAAATAACTTCTACATGTTGAAAAGGGTTAAAAGTGAATAGCTTCGGATTATGCAATCTCAAAGTCATTTCACTCACCAATTACACAATTTAAAAGTCATTTTTAATTTTGAAATTACATAATTCAGAAATTATTTTTAGATTTCATATTATTTTTTAATTTTTG